ACATCTATATATATATATATATATATATATCTTTAAGTGGAATTTATGGTCATAAACTTGGCTTAATAAGTTAACAAGCCAAAACATACAAGATTTGACCCATTTGCTTAACAAGCCGAGCCCCAGTGATGAAGTGACACATTATGAAGAATTTGAATTTCCAACCATCGATAAGCCAAAAATGTTATAAATAATAAAAGGTGTCAACATTTATAAGCTACGCGGAGGTATTCAGATTCTGATAAAAGCTCGTCAATCTTCAAGAATTCTTGGGAGATAAAAAACAATTCAAGAAGATAATTGTGTATAATTTAAGGGTACAAAACTGAAAATCCAAAGGTAGTTTAACCTATAACTGTCCCCTTTACAGAAGCAAGAAATCATACGGGAGCACCAACGTCCCGAGTTGTAAACCGGCGTATCATACTAGCTTGCATGAAATGAAATATTGAAGAAGAAAATAAGCGAAAAACGATAGCAAACCTTTAGGTTTGTCCACAAGCACTACTGTTCCAGATGGCCCATCCCACTTTGCAGGAAGTCCCGTTCCCCTGCTTGAGAGAAACGGCTCAGCACTATCCTCCTTAAAAGTATCGCTTTGGCTCTGAACATTCGGAACCTTCTTCAAGAACTTGAAAAATTCCTCCACCTTCTTCTCTGAAACATTGTCACCCCTATCCTTCTTCTCCTGCCCATTATCCTTCTCTTCGTCAAAAAAAACCAAAGCCCTCGCATCCCTTTTCTCTCCCTCATCCTTCTTAGGTGTGCTCTTCCCCTTCTTAGGCAGCTGCACCACCTCCGCCGCCGGGTCGAAAAAAGCTTTGTCAAACGATTGCTCTGGGAAAAACTTCTTCTCGAGCTGGTACACCATCCGGTAGTGTTTATCCTTTTCCCAGGGGAAGGCAAACGCGTCGTGGAAGTAGAGTTCCTGCTCGCGGGCGTGCAGCCTAGGGAAGTCGACGATCTCAGGCTTCAGCTCCACAAAATCGGATCGACGTCCAGAGTCGGAGTCCGAGCCAGAGTCGCCGTACATGCGCCTCTGCCTCTTACGATAGTACCGGCGCTTGGCACGATCCATCTGTTTAGAGTCGCCGGGAACTTCGCCAGAGGACGAGAAGGGTTCTCCATCGCCGGAGTCTGCGGCGGCCATGGGGGTAGAGGAGTTTAGAGGGCGGCGAGGATGGCGGCGGTCCGGGCGGTAGTGAATGAGCTCGTAGTAAAGCGGGTAAGGGGTGGAGGAGGAGGAGGAGGAGGGACAAAAGAGTAAGGAGTACGGTTTTAGGCCAGGGAGGAAGAGGGAGGAGGATGGTTTGGGGAGCGGGAAGACGAGAGTTGAGAATGCCCTCCAAGAGGTTGTCAACTGCATTGTAAGAGACGCGATGGCACGGGCAGAGAAGTGAAGAATGACGACACGACTTCCGCTGGGGGAACACCATATGCTAAACTTTTGGTACTCTTTAAAATAATATACTTTTTTTTTAAAGAATTGAATTGATTCTTTATGCATTAGGTCCTATAATGAGAAGGCCGCATCATCGGCTATTATTCGAGGACTACTACATCACGGGGATTCGAAATCTTAACCTGAGAGGACTTATAGAGAGACCCGCCAAATAACACGTCAAGGTATGCACAAGTTTAAAAAATATTATATATA